GAATAAAAGACCCCCAACCCAAGATCCCCCAGAGTAGGAGACGAGACCCTGTTTTTGGTGAAGCTGTCTAAACCATCTTCTCCATGATCATTACTGCATCTCTCAAATCTGAAAGAGGAGCTGGTGGGAGACAGAAAAAACTGAAAGGAATGCGTTATGGTGGGATAAAAATACATCCATCGTCTTCAGTTTATTCCGAGGGGGGCAGCAGCTTGAGCAGAGGGCTCCAGACCTCTCTGTCCCCAGCCTCCTCTTCTGGGAGGACTCCAAGTTGTTCTCAGGCAAGTTGAGAGACAGAGTCTCTCCAGAGTGCCCTGGGTCTTTCCCAGGGTCTCATCCCAGTCAGAGGCCTTCCAGATGAACCATCTCAACTGGCTCTGCTGGATGTGGAAGAGCAGCAGGTCTGAGTCTCTCACCCCCTACCTGGAGAGAACAATCCACCCTGTTCTCACTGAGGACCATGGCCTCAGATTTGGAGGTGCTGATCCCTGCTGTGGACCGCAGCAGTGAGAGCTGAACAGAACCACATCATCTGCAAACAGCAGAAATGGAATCCTGAGGCCACTGAACCGGACTCTAGAAAAATGGGATCAAAAAAGACATTTATAACTAGACATGGGTTTTTACGATGTAAAAGCAAGTGTGTATTGTCATGTAGCATATCATTGCCTGCAGCATTGGACTTGCAGAATGAACTTTGACCAAGTTCAAATGTGTTTTCTAAACCAGCTTGTGTCTGTCACGTCAGCAGGTGTTTGTAATTAAGGTAATTGTGTGACAATATGAAGTTTGTAGAGATTTTTTCTTAAAGTTGCATTAACTGGGTTTTGAACCCTGATCTCCCACATGAAAGTCCATGACATAAACCATCAGACCAAAGGAGTTGTGGTAGAAGGGGTGGCAGGGGTTGGTTTGTATGTGTGCAGAAAGAGGCCACATTGCCAATACAATTATTGACAAAAAATGCATAATATTGCAACAATAGAGCAGTATTAAGACATTATTATAGTAAAACAACAAAATACAATCATATTAGTATTGTAAACACTGAACAATTGAGATTAAATATTATTAAAGTATGGAGCAGTACCAAGTTGAGTCCAGCATGGGGCAGTATTGAACCATTATAAGGCCCCATTTACTCCCATTATATGAATTTTGGAATAAAGTTTAAACATTAATATTTCAAAAACTACAAGTTGTATAGGCACCAGAAGGCATAGCAATCATTTGGCACAGGACCTTTACAGATAGAAATTACAACGGCAGCTGTAGAACAAAGTATGCAGGAGGAGTAGCGTGGCGACGTAGAAGAAGACGGAATAAGCTGAATAATAAAAATATTAAAGAGAAACAGGAAAACATGCAATGCACACTGATAAATTCCAATGGGGCAACAAACAGAAAACCTCCTCGTTTGGATGCAGCAAGTGTTACTGCTGTAGGATCACGAGGTCTAATGTTTGTAGTGGTCACATTAAAGAGCTAAAACCAACAGAATGTGTCCATGAGGTGGAATTCTTACCCGACCTGATGAGACTGTAGCAGCCTGCAGTTCTGATCGCTGCTGACAGGATCTGAGGAATCCACTGATGTACTCAGTTTTATTGATTTATCTAAGTAAATTTACAAAATTCATTTAAACACAAATTACGCTCATAAGGTTTTGCACATTTAACAGCTTGTTAACAATTTTTACACCCAGAAATGTCTTCTAATATAACTGTAACAGTGAATTAATGAGGATGTTAAAGTTTTTTGTAAGAAAAACACTGATTGGTCCAGAAGCTGTGATCGGTTCGTAAATGTTGATCCAGATGAGTTTGTGATGAAGAGACATTCAGTTCCAGCTCCCTCACTGACTTGTACCATAGACTTGAATAAGAACACTAGACTGAGCCCCACCCATCCCATCCACTGGTAGCGTCTGTGACAGCATGGAGGAGCAGAGAACAAAGAAGGCAACAGCTCACAGCCTCCATAGAAACTAATAGATAAACAGCAGCCGAACCAGATCTGTTTCACAGATTATCTGTACTGTTTTTACTATAAATTAATGTTTATTTCATTCAATAATCATGTAAAACAGCAGCTTTATACCAGAAAATACATGATTTATAAATAATAATGATCTAAACTAGACCTGAAGTCAGCCTGTAACTCATGGTGCGTTCACACCGAACGTGATTTCAGCATCAGGAGCATCAGGTTTACATGCAAAGTCTATGGTGGACGCGCTTATAAGCGTCGGGAAGTGCTGCG